TCTCGGTGAAATGGAAAGGAGATCTTAATCTCTCTCGCTCGCTCGATTGCTCTCTTTCCATTTCTCCAGTTTTTTAAAGGGATAGTTCACCCAAAAATAAAAATTCGGAACGCATTACAATAAGGTCTTATTAGTTAGTTAATGCATTAACTTACAAAGAGCAATACATCTGTTATAGTATTCATTCATCTTTGTTAACATTACTTAATAAAAATACAACTGATTATTGTTAGTTCATGTCCATTAAATAATATTAGCATGCAACTTTTGATTTTAATAGTGTATTAGTAGCTGTTGAAATTAACTTGAACTAAGATTAATAAATGCTTTAGAAGTATTTCCATTGCTAGTTTGTTAACTAGTCAACTAATGTTAATGAATTGAACCTTATTGTAAAGTGTTTTCGAAAATTCTGTCAGACATTTACTCATCCTCATGTTGTTCCAAACCTGACTTCTGTGGAACACAAAAGATATTCTTAAAAATGTCTGGGGTTTTTTATACATAGAATAACATTTAACGGGGTCCACAGTTGTTTTGGATCCCATTGACTTTTATTGTATGATTAAAAAGAGTTGAAACATTCTTCAAACTATCTTCTTTTGTGTTGCGCAGAAGAAAGAAATGCAAATAGGACTCCTGCTCTGTGTGCTTGATCTCATTGAATGCAGGTCAAGGCAAACAAACACACACACATGGGTCTGTTTTGGAATTAAAACTAAACTTTACATGCACAAGATGATTAATTATCCATAAACAATATCATAACAGACAAGTCCTAATGTGAAAATTCCTTTGTTAGGGTCTGCTAGGGTAACACACTGACAGTATACTAGATTAGATAAATCGCACAATCTGACGAAGAGCATTTATGCTGTTTGGAGAAGGCGGAGGAAGATGGATCTAGAATTAGTCATCATTACCCTTGCCTCTAGTATCACATTGCCACTGTTAAATACAGTTGGCGAAACACCATCCTCCATCACAACCTCTTGATTAAGTGTTAATCAATTGGAGCTAAGATAGACAAATTGTGCCTAAATGTTAACCTCATGGTGCTGTACTCAATTATGCTAATAATCTGTTCATTTGATGGTTAATGAAACAACTGAGACCTTGCTCTTGGTATTGATTTCCCATTTGGAGCTCTCTTAAGGGACAAGGTTAGTTAGGCAAGAGGTTGGCTCATTTATCTGATCTAATGATCAATGTCTCAGAGTGAAATGCTTACACAATACACAAGAGTGTGATGACAGCTCCTTGGACACACACGCACAAAAAATAGCTGGCTGTTGAACAGCGAGTGCCCTGGTCAACTGTGAAATCTCGCATGTCAATCCAGAAGGACAATAACCCTCTGAGCTCCAACTTGAGTTGCCATGGCAACATTATCTCAGCCCACCACTACCTGGAGCCATTGGACATCCTGATCACAATATCAATCCAATGCACACAGATTAACTTGGAAGCACGCTCAGTTACAATTCACACAGAAATTATATTTTGCTTTTAACTCCATATGACTAAGACCTTTGTTTTTTTAAAGCTAGAAAGCTTTTAAAATACAGTTCAACTGTGCTACTGCTAAAGGCTAACATGCATGCTAGTGCTGATCTCTGAAATGAAATTACCGTTAATTGATGTTTTTTTTTTTTTTTTTTTTTAGCAATATAATGACAAGACAATATATTAAAGAATAACACTGCAAGATATTAATAAAAGCATAATAACATTTTTTTAGGAGAAATGCAGAATTTTTTTTGCCAATGATCCAACCATATTGTGTTTAGATTAGAATTATCCTGCTTGAGTTGAAAGACCTTTATACCAGTATACTGAATTGCACCCTACTGTATATTATAAATCATTTAAGTATTGGCAAGAATTTTGAAAATGTTTTATAGGAAGTCTCTTATAATCACCAAGGCTGCATTTATTTGGACAAAATTGCAGTAAAAATAGTTATATTGTCAAATATATTACAATTTAAAATAACTTCAATTCTGTATATTTTAAATGATTCCTGTGATGTCAAAGCTAATATTTAGCAGCCATTCCTCAGTAATGTCACATGATCCTTCAGAAATCATTCTAATATGCTGCTTTGATAGTAAGAAATGTTTCTTAAAGGTGCAATAAGCGATTTCTGGTAAACGCTGTTAACATTTAAAATCTCCAAAACAAACATGCGCCTATACCCAAATGGATCACACCCCTATCTTGATGCCTCCGCCCCCACATTCACATACACACTAAGCACAGGTAACGACAATGGCGGAATCTGCTGTGCCTGCCGCTCAAGGGTATGATGTCATCAATAAACGAAAGCAATTTGTGTTACTATGATAATTCAGGTTGAATGTCTAATTGTTATTTAGCTTACTGACCCTTCTTTTAAAGTTATATTGACATTTTCCTCTTTTGTATTTTCTCTGCCATCTCTCTCTTTCTATAGTTGTTCTGCTAATGTCCGTCTTGTGCACTGAGCTCTCTCTCCGCCCCCATCATGAGTGGACACGCCCCTTACTGCTGATTGGCCGATACACTTTTTTTAACAGCGTTTTTCAAAAATCGCATACAAATGTGCTGCGTAATATTTTAGTGGAAACAGTGATAATTTTGTTTTCCAGTATATTTTAGCGAATAAAAAGTTCAAAAGAGCATTTATTTGAAATAGAAAATGTAACATTCAACGTTATATGTAACATTCAAAATGTCTTTACTCTCACTTTTAAACAACTTAATGAATCCTTGCTGAATAAAAGTATTAACAGTATTTCTATCAACAAAATCAACAAAAAAAGGAGAAAGGAGGTCTTACTGACCTCATACCTTTTTTTTTTTTTTGGTTATAGTTTGGCCAGTTAAAGTTTTTTGTCACTTTGCATATTTTTTTTGCCTAATTGTTTTAATTGTATTTTTAATGACTAAAATTAGTAAAGACTAAAATGCTTGAATATGAGATGACAAAATGTTAATATTTTGTCAAAACACAATAGCTGTGTGAAAATGTACACTGGCTATTTGTGCATAACAATGTAGATTCATCCAGTGGATTATGGGCCTCATTTCCTGCTGCCCATGCCAGGACTGAAGTGTAATAGAGATGTTTAAAGCATATCTGCTTTGCTTGCATTCCATCATGTGCCGCTGCTAAAATAATAAGTGCACAGGTTACTTCAGGACAACTCCCTCTGAGCCACAATCGCTTTGTTGTGATTGGCTCTTTCCTGAGGTTCCCCTTTGCTAAGAGTCGTAACAACTCCGAAAGCCACACTGACCGTATTTACAACACTAGTGACAGATGTTCCTACGAGCCGCACACATCAAAGTAAGTCATTTTGACAGGAAGAGATTTATGTTCACTCCTTTCTATCCTCAAGACAAGTTACCTGTCTGTTTGTTTGTGTGCAAACTCATCCCTTCCAAAAGGCGAAACCCAAACAAACATGAGGACACATGAATATAACACATCCCAAGATGCCCATGTGTCTATTACTGTGCCTTTATGGTGTTAAACACGGTAAATTGAGTAGACGGGGGAGAGAAACTGTCTCTGTGGGAGTTTTGGAGCGTCTCATCTCCCCATCATGCAGTGCTCTAAGAGCTATATTAACTTGTAATCAGATTCCACCAGTTCATTAAGGCTGTCTCCTCGTGCATCCCTTGGATGGTAGGTGGCCACTTTTTTTTATTTGTGAAAGAGTCTGGTAGAGCAATGCCCACTGTAAAGCACAGAGCTGTAACAAGCCTGTAGTCTTTGTTCCGAGACTCAGACGCCTGAGGGGAGTTTGCACAAAGACGTGGATTCTGTTAGAAAGTCTTGTCATTTCTGTGGATATACAAGAAGAGAAATGTCAGGAGACTCTGATAGCAGAGGCAGCCTTGAATGTGTGAATGCACTGTATGTAGCTATATGTATGTGTGTGTGTTGTACGAGTGAGTGCATGTGTTTGCTAGCACAGCTCTACCCTATAGACATGCAGCAGGTCGCATAGGTGATGCCGAATGTTCACTGAAAATCCCTGTATTAAGGACATACATCCTATTATTCATTCAAGTATTTTAGGAATTGCAATCTGATTAACTGAGCTGTATGCTTTTTACCTGTATTGTTTTTCTCTCTTTCTCCTTCATAAATAAAATACACATTAGGCTACTTATAAGTCAAATGTAACGATGCTACTTTGCAAATAAGTTGTTCGAGCAGTGGTTTCACAATGTTAAAAAAGAACAACAGATACTGTGGTCTTATGATTTGCTCAGCAATATCTGATTATTTATGAATTAGACTCATTTTGTCTTTTCAAAGAGAGTTAGCCTATACTTAGAGCTATGTATAAACATACTAAACTATGGTAAGCTATTAGCTTGAAGGCTAACTAAAAACACAAAAAGGTAAATGTTTAATTTCACCATTTTTGCTTTAATAATACAATATGTGATATCTAACTTAATAAACAAAAAAAAAACATGAAAAATGTTAATTGATGTCTATTTTTGATTAGGCACCAAATAGAGTACTCATAAAACATATTCTTCCAGTTGATGGAGTAGCTTTGGGATCCAAGGGGGAGATTCTGCAGGGATATTTTGGATCTCTATAATGTTTAACAAAAAACTTGTATTTTTCCTCTCAAAGTTATTTATTGGTGTTTATTCACAAAAAAGCTTACTTGATACTGTATTTATCCTGTATTCTCTCAGCTTTCTCTTGGATTTCTTACTACTCTACATTCTGTGTCGCTCACTCTTCACAGCCCTTTAAGTGTAAGATACCAGCCGAAATACAGGCCAGATGCGTTTGTTTACCCTCGGACATAAACCTGAACTGCTTACTGACTGCATACCGTCATGACATCATTGCCTGTTGCATTGTAGCCTGCGCTATTGTTTCAGAGCATTCTAGGTATTACTCAATCACTGAAAAGGTGAGAGGAGTCACACGCAGCTTTCTCATGCCTTTCTCTTTTTCTCTCTCTCTCTCTCTCGGCTCGCAGACGCCATCAATAACAGGATGTTAATGCTAGACGGAATGCCTGCAGTCCGAGTCAAAGCAGAACCTCTGGAATCTGAGAGAGGGGTAAGAGAACAGTTGTTTTTCATTCAGTTTTTGTCCTGACCTCTTAACCATTCTCTTGTACCACCCTCCACTTCTTTCACCCCTCACACGCCCACCCTCTCGCTGTGATACCCCTAATTACTCCCAGGTGTGTGTGTGTGTGTGTGTGTGGAGCTGCCCTGATGTGGAGAGCCACAGCTGAAACAGGAATGCTCCCAGGGCCACTGCAGCCAGGACAGCCATTTTGGCAGGGCACAAGCACAGAAAGAGAGTCGTTTTCTCTCTTGTGTCATTATTTCTTCATATGCTGCTTTAAGTGCACATGTACTCTACATGATCGTCCAGGCACATCTATTAGAATACTGTTCATCTATCAGGGTTTTCTAACAAGCAAGAGGGTGCTAGGGGGTCTGCGGAGTATTTCGGTGAGAAAAAGTTTTTTACATAGTGTATTTTAGGGCTGTCGAAGTTAATGTGTTAACATATTCATCAAATGTTTAACATATTGTTTTTAATTAAAAGAAGAAATTTTGTAAGTTTTTATATTTAATTAGTTTTATTTAATTGTTTAACACATTTACTGACTTTGACATTATTACTTTTTAATTTTCAGTTCCGTTTGGAATTTATTAATTAATTATGATGTTTTTAATTCTATTAACAGCCATAGCTTCTAACTGAAAGAAATAAAAACATATTTATAGTTATATATTAAACACTGATATTAAACACAACATTATGTATAAGTTTGTGGTGAGTAAGATTTAATACTTTTCTTCAGCAAGGATGTATTCAGTTGATCCAAAGTGACAAAGATATTTTGTTGGAAAAAAATATTATAAATAAACAGTTTTCATAAATAAAAATATGTTTTTATTTTAACAGTCTATTCATAAAAGAATCCTGAAAAAACTATATTCAACATTGATAATAATAAGACATGTGCACCACATAAGCATATTCAAATGATTTCTGAAGGAAATCACAGGAATTAATTGCATTTTATTCAAATAGAAAGCAGTTGTTTGAAATTGTAATAATATTTCACAATATTACGGTCTCTGTTTTTGATCAAATAAATGTAGTCTTGGTGAGTATTTTTCTTTTAAAAACATTAAAAAATAAATCTTACCATCGTGAATTTTTTTTTATATTAATTTGTTTCAAAATAGGGATTGCCGAAATTTGAATTGAATATTCTATGGTTCTTGAAAGTTTTAAAAGCCCTGAGTTATATAACTAACCTGTCACATTATCATAAGCTTTTGACTCAGAATAGCTTAGTGTATAAATTTGATTCTATTCAGTGAACTCCACATGAATTTCTCAGTTAATGGAAAGCACAAAAGCAGATAATGGATAGACGATCCACTTTCTTAAAGAGAGAGAACCTGTTAATAGTTGTGTATGAGTGCCAACAACGTACCCTCGTTATGTTCTACTTCACAAGCCAGCATAGCAACACCTTGTTTCCTTCCTGCGAAAGGCTGATAGACGTATTTTATCCAAATGCGTCAAAATGCTGTCAAGCGCCAGGAAGTGTGCAACCTACATATTGACTCTTTGAAGTGCATCTCATTGCTCAAACATGGTCGTCATTCCGGTGGCCACTTGCCAAGACCTTGCTGAGAACGGTTTGCCCCAGTTAATGCCCTCACCTGCTAGACCAAGATCTCATGTAGGATCCTCAAATAAAGTAAAAGTCATCAGTAAAGAGCCAAGGTGGAAAGTACAGAGGAGCGAGCGGTTGAGGTTTGAAAACCTTTCTACAGAAACAACTTTTTTATCACCACCTCAAAGCCTTTAATTTACATTTTATTCCATATGAAAGGAGGTCATGTGTTCCACAGTACATCAGTTTACACTTTCAGTCTGCTATGGTTTACAGTTTCTTCTGGTTTTCTTTCCTATTCACATTAAATCTCGAAATGCTGTATGTTGTGGATCAGCCAGTGATACCATATGAATAATCATCAGAGGTGTAAAGAGTACCTGAAAACCATATTTAAGTAAAAGTACAGATACCTTACAGCGAAAAAGACTCCATTACAAGTTAGAGGTCACCAATTTCAATACGACTGTAAAAGTTGTTAATGTTAAGGGTGCAATGTGTAAAAATTTTGAGTATCTATTAACAGAAATGCAATATGACATCCATAACTATGTTTTCAGTGGTGTATAAAGAACTTACTTAATAAACCTTAATGTTTTTATTACCTTAGAATGAGACATTTATATCTACATAACCGCGGGCACCCCCTTCTTTGAAGGTCGACATATTGTGACGTCATGTTTCTACCGTAGCCGACAGCGAACAAACAGCGCTACAGAGCGCGTTTCGTCACTACCTTGAAAGAGAAGCAGCAGAAAGCTAGAAGTTAGCCATAAACACCGTGAGTAGTGACTTTTCCCTTGTCAGTGGTGTAAAATATGTAGTTGGATTGTTTCATGTAACTTAGTTCTTCTCCCTCGCTGTGTTATGGCTTTGCTACGTGGGGATAAATGCGCTGGTTACGTACGTTCGTCATTTTTGCCGCGTGCACCTTTGGGCTCATGCGGACGCGTCGAGTTTAAACAAGGCTTTACGCTTTAACCAGCTCAGCCACAGTAACAGCTCATATTTAGCCAGCTAAACTTTTACTACCCTGTTAGAAAAAATATATAGTTGTTGCATAGTTTCAAATGGTTCATCTCCCTCGCTGTATTATGGGTTTGCTATGTGGGGAGAAATGTGCTGGTTACGTTTGTGAGACAATCAGCTGATTACTATTATTATATTATATATTAAGACCCTTGATCCTCACCTGACTATGGCTTTGTAAACTTTATCCATGATGTGGTTTATAATGGACTGTGATACAGAAACAGTGACAATGTTACACACTCTTGGCTTACTCTGGCTATTCTCTGCTGTCTCAGACGACGATATGTTTGTCCCGTTTTAGCCACCGTAGCTTCTTCGAAAGGGAGGGGTGAGCAGAAGCCCTTAGTGCAACTCGCAACCGATCCGCTAGATGTCGCTAAAAAATACACACTGCACCTTTAAGTAATATATATTTAAAGCCTACATGCGCTGGACATGCTGGTTTCTGCCTCATCATCGGCTGGATGTTCTCATCTCATATGTGAAACGCCGGCGATTCAGCAACTACCTGCTAATGCACTCGCGTTAAGTATCCATGTAGATAAGTTTGGGTGAGTAAGGGCAAAACGGACAAGATATAGTACCTTCAATGCCCTGTAGATGGCGATATCACTTCTTTTGTAGCAGAAATAAACTGCTGCAGAAAAAGTTAGGTGCCATGCAAAATGTATTACTCATCACAAATGTATTAGAGTAAAGAGTTTTTTATTTTTATTTTATACAGTATAAAGAGTGGAGATGAGGTCTATTTGGGAAGGAGGTTTGTCCCAGAGGGGCCGCAAAGGCCTAAGGCCCAATCCACACTACTGCGTTTTAGTTTAGAAACGGAGAATTAAAACGAATACGATCTCCGTCCACACCAGCGTTTTAGCTGCGTATTAGAATTGATCTCCGTCCACATTAAAACGACTGAAAACGCGGATCACGTGACCATTCACCTACACTGGGCATGCGCGTGCCGGTGTAAACACAACTTCATTGATAAAATATCCCACCATGCTCTGGGTTAACCCCAAAACGACGCTCCATGTACGGTCAACGCCGCCGCTGCACACGGGAATTGTCACAGATCGCTCGAATAATAGCTTGACTCCGGCGCATGTAGGCAGTTATAGCGTTGTAAAATGCAGAATTTACTTGTACAACAGCTGCTAGCAAAGATATACGCCATGACTGATGACACCCAATCATAGAGCCGAGCGTGAGCCTCTACTACGTCATCGTTTCTAAAGTCCTCCGTCTTGACCCGTCTACACTAAAACGCCCTCCGGAGATTCAAAACGAAAAACGGATCGGCAGCGTTTCTAAACTTCTCCGTTTTGGGTCTCCGTTTTTGCCGTTTTAGTGTGGACGGGAGGTGCAAACGTAGCAAAAGGTCTCCGTTTTTAAACGAAAACGCAGTAGTGTGGACGGGGCCTAAGGCTACAGCAGCCGTAGGCACAGCTCCTCACAACGTCCTAAATACACACACAAACAGAAAAAACATATGCAGTATAAAGCCTCTTAAGCACACCCTGAAGGGTACATCACAGAAGTCAATAGAACAAGAGTGAGAGTTCACTACAGACAAACACTGTTCTGAGTGATCTTTTTCAGCAGAAAAACAATGGAGGTTGCATTGCTGCGCAAGGAACTGATCAGAAAGGGTTTGTCCCTTTTGCTTGGAACACAAAAGATTACAGAGGCAGGTTTTTTCAATTAGATAGCAGTCTGTTAAGCACGATGCTGATTGGTCATTAGAGGCACCTCCCTTCCCTTTCATACAACCCTCATTAGCAGGGTGCTGATTGCATGCTATGCTAATAGAAATTCACTCACTGGGTTTGATTACTACCCTGTCTGTGCAGCTGTGCAGCATTTTTAAAGAATAAAATACTAAAATGTACTAAAAATCAGACCATGTTCAGCATTTATTGCAGAAAAAAATTAGATGATATAAAAATAACATGCATTTCATATAAATGTGTTATTTGATTTGTGATCAGGTTAACGGATGTGTTTAATATGAATCAGGAGGTTCTCTTGTTTAATTTGATATAGGCCTACTCAAAACATTCACCTAGAATGTCTGTCATCTTTTTTCAATTGTTAGCCAATGTTTTCATGTGTTTGTTTAATAATGTCTTGCCAATTTGATTTCTGTTTTAGAATATTTTTAATAATTAAGTCATTTTTTAATAAAAAATACAGTTTAAAATTCTTAAAATACAGTGAAGTTGGGGGAAGGGGTTAATGAGTGTTGGTGTAAAAATAAAAATCAGTTACAGATGTTAAAGGAGCGCTTTTAAAAAAAAATGCAAATGTTTGGCCTGCAAGAGAAAACTGACTTGGAGATATTTGCAGACCCTATAATCCCTTAATAGCCCCACCGGTCAATTGAGTAGAGCTGTGAAAAAGTTTTATTGTGCTTTTTCTTTAGCCCAAAAACTCCTGAAAGAGACTAAATCACCAATGAACCATTGTTGTCAGCGCTGTCACACTTTGCAGAAAGGGGGTTCTTTGTTCTGAATATACTGCTCTTTTCCCTGCCCAGTCATATCAGTATTGTAACCCTGACCTTAAGGTCATGTGTCCTGACCTGTGACAATGCCCTCTGAACCCTGAATGACTCCACCTGGGTTTTTACGGGTCATGTCAGCATATTTAATTGCCTGACATTTGTTTGTTTTTGGATTCAAATGCAGTTTTATTGTACCATATACTGCTGATTCATGGGTCGGTAACGCTCAGAGTGACTCTACGTGCCAGGAGTAAAAAAAGTATGAACTCTGGGGGGAAAATTGTAATTTGCTACAGGCCCACTCAGTCTGCATAAAGAAAAGTGAGTCTATAAACAAAGTCAAGCCGTGATTCTGCAGCAGACCGTTTATCACATCTGCAGTTGCAATTCGAGAACTTTTCCCCTCGGTTTAATGAGCTGCTCTGTCATGATTAGCCGCCTGCTCAGGACTGATCATTTCACTGTATGCGCTTACTGCAGAGATGAGCGCTTTGTCTGCTAGCACTTTAGGTGTTTTTGAGCAGACAAATGTGAGGAGTTGACAGATCCTGTCCCCAAGATGTAGTTCTGATAGTTGAGAAAGCAAAAAAAAGGGGAAGCTATGTTTTGTCCATGTTGCGGACCCAAATTTGAATGTGCCGGGAATTGTTGTTATAAATTATATTATGAAAAGCTTTTCTTCATATTTTTGATCAACTGTATATTTGAACTCTTTCCGTGCCATTGAAAGAATTTTCCGTCGTATGACACAATGCTTCCTCGCCATTGACTTGATTTTCCGATAATAAATGTATTCACTTGTTATACGGTAGGGGCCTCTTCTGAAATAGTACTGAATCTCTGGATCTAAAAACAAGCGGAGAAGAAGCATAAATAAACGAAAGAAGCATGACTGACGCACATGTAAGCTACAAACATTAAACAGCATATAAATCAAATCTGGCTAACGTTAACGAATGAAATGTCGACCCAGGACAAGATATACTGCTGTGCAAGCTTAGGGGATGTTGATGGACTCGATCTATGTTTTTTTTGTGTGTTGATAAAAACAAATGTTTTTAATATTTTTTCAAAAAAAAAAGAAAAGAAAAAGAAAATAACAGAGCCTTTGCTTTTAAACAACAAAAAATGTAACAAAATATTTGGGGGCCATGAAAGTTTTGTAAAAAAAAATTTTTTTTTTTAAAATGCTGGCAGGGAAAGAGTTCATATTTAAATACAATTTATACAATAAATTATTTTTGAAAATGTATATTTAAAAAAAAGAACTCATCAATGAGCATTTGTGTCAGAAATTTGATTGGAGAGATTTACATGGCTTTTATATATGTCTTCCTTACAGTCACCCAAAGTGCACGGCTATCCTGATATGGAGGCGGTGCCAATCCTGCTCAGCAAAGTGAAGGCAGAACCTCCAGAAGACCTGCTTTCATCCGAGCAGTTCCAGACCCAGACGGAGCCCGTGGACCTGTCAATCAACAAAACACGGACATCATCTCCTTCATCCAACACCTCACCCATTACCTCAGCCTTCTCTCCATCCTCCTCTTCATCATCGTCGTCCTCACCTTCCGTCATCGCCTCCATCTCCGCGGGAATGCCCTCCGTTTTGACACCCGGGCCGTTGGTGGGCTCTTCTCATGGAGTTAGAGGCCAGCAATTTTTGCACATCATCCACCCTGTTCCCCCTTCGAGTCCCAGTAAACTGCCCAGTCAGGTGCACCGTATCCCTGTTGTGGTGCAGTCGCTGCCCCTCATGTACACCACATCCGTACGCTCTCCTTCCACCCTCAACTCCACCATCATGTTACCTCTCCTGGACGAGGCCAAGTGCCTGGGCAAAGGTAAGGACCTCATTTTGGATTGTTCAATCATTTTTTTTTCATACAGTTATACAGTAAGTTGATCCCTGGATTTGAAAAGTTGGAGGTTTGCAACTTAACAGTTTGAGAATTACTTAATTGATCACCACTGTGCCCCTGGGGGAAGCACTTAACATCAACCTGCCCCAAGGGGAATGCTGAAATCGAATGAAATTTTGATCACAGGGGAAAAGAAATCAGCTGGAATAGGGGAAAAAATGAAAGCTGATTAAAAGAATCTGTTCGGATTTGTAAGACTAGCTTCAGACAGCAGAATCTCTCTGTCCTTTCTTCACAGAAAAGCACCATACTCATAATGACATGCAGACATGGGTTGATTGTCCTCAGCTGCCTGTGTACTTCCTGCTGTTAGGGAGTATGTGATGTGTGTCAGGCCTTGCATACGCACTGCTTCTGAAGTGGAGGGCATATAAACTAAAAGCCTAATTCCAAATCAAGTAAGCAGGGTGGGGAATTAATTCCTACCACCATCCAAATGCTAGTACTGTTTGGAGAGTGGCAGGTCATTTTGATTTATGTACCAGCCAATATGGCGGTCGACCTGCAAGCCATCTCAGATTGCCATTTGACGAAAATATACTGTTGCTTTTTAACGAAAAGATTTAGATTTGGAAGTCATTTGAAAAGCTGACAAGGTGCATGTTGTCCTATACATTATTCAAGATATTCCTAGGCTAGCACTTTGCTGCTTTTTTCAAACACACCCAAGCATGTTGGTATTTTCACACTTGCTTCATTTCATCTCAAATTGCGGTATACAGCGTAAAAGCAAAGTGAACTAATAGTCTTTCACATATGGACCAAAAATGAGATTAAGCGAACACTAAGCGAACTAATTTCTTTTTCACTTTGTTGAAAAATTTCTTTTTGTGTTTTTTTTTTTAACATGAAAGGTCTGAATTTTGTTCTTTTCAAGAGGACTCAAACGTGAAAACACAATTGAGATTACAGCTACAGTGTAGAGATGTGCTTTTACATTTGTTCAAGTTAACATATGGGTGTTTCTTCAACGTTAGGCACTTTTATATCCCAGTTTTTTATTATACGTCTAGCCCACAGTTGCGGTGTTTTTTTGTTTTTTTTTTTACCTCAAACAACAATTTTGCCCATAATAACGTTTTATATATAAGTGTGTGTACTTGTTTACAAAGGACACAACAGTGTTCAGTGAGGAATGAAACATGAGACATGATGTGTAGAAAAAAAAAAAAAAAAAAAATGGTATATACCATAATTTTATTATAGTAATTTCAATCAAATTATGTGTATTTAGGATTCATAATGTGTTAGCTGTGAAAATAGCCGTAGCTAGATTAAGGTTTATTTTTATTAAAAAAAAAAGAAGAAGCTCAAAATGTCCTTTCCACCACAAAATTGTGAAATGTTCAAAAAAAAAAATGACAAAAATTGTCCTGGAATGCATGTTTGGCTTCTGTTGGACATTGTTAGTAGACAAATTTACTAGTGAGAGTGTGAAAAGTCTGTTATTTTCTAAAAGTCAACAGGGCCGAAAGTGCCCATTGTTTAAGAAACATCCATATATAGGGAGTTGTATATGTTTATATTGAATACATAAGGCCGACAGTTATGCAGTATCTTAAGACACTAATCATCCTGGGATGAATGTGGTTTCTTCAAATGTAGGATATGTGTTGCTGTCTCAAGTCCATCATGCAGAAAGGTCCCACATGCCCTAATCAGAAGCACACATCTTGCATGGTGCGTTCCCAAACTCTCGAGACCTCACCGGACTGCTGTTTAGAGTTGGTTTCCTGTAGGGCGAGTTTTAATACTCTGGCAGTAAGCCATGATGTTCTGGGTGTTGCTGTCAAATGGTGTTCGGCCCGAGCGGAGGGCACAAGGGAGCTGTTTGTTGCTCAACCTCTTGTTTATCTGGGAAGGGTGTCTGTCCCAAATGGTTGGGCAGGGCTGGGCATCCTGCTAGAAGGAGGATTTAAATACTGGGTGTCTCGCTCAGCTTCAGATGAGGAAAGAAAGGAAAAACAAGGTTTGCATAATGGGGTGGGGCGGATATTGAAGATGGGTGGCACCGCGAGCAGTCAGGCACATAGCAACATGGACTCCACCCAGAGAGCTCCGAAACAGCACAGAGGAAATGGGGTCAGACCTGGGCGGGTTCAACAGGGTAGCAGACGGTGATATGCTTACATGATAGTGAGACAGTTAGATTTTACCACTATATTGAGACACCAGTATGCACCGATCAGCACTTACATGTAAATGTATGGCCACATCATGGCCACTGACAGCTGGAAACACAATGGACAGCGCACACTTTTACATGCTCACGCATACTCGTGTACAGGTTGCCAGGGGGAGGTGGGAGGGGGTGTGCCCTTCTCCACAGCTCTGTCTCGGCTGAGTTACCATGGAAACAGGCTATGGCTGGAAACAACAGGAGAAAGAAATCATGGGGTTTGCTTCACCACCTCTTATGAACTCTCGCTTTTGTCATTGCCTTTATATGGTAGTTTTTAAGGAATATCCAGGCAAGCTATGAACTGTAGGTAGATTGAATGGATTATGGTGGAAACAGTCGACAGAGGCAGTACAGAGACAGGCCATTTTATTTGTGAATGCTGTCTATAATATCTGTCTATACTGTAGAGTAAATTCAAATGTTTTTATTTTTTTTTAAATACATTTTTTAAAGATGGTTTTCCTCATGATTTAGTCTTGCATCTTTTAGTTTAGGTATATAGCTAGCACATTAAAAAGTGCAGCACAAACTAAAAAGACAAATACAATTAAATAAAGAAATACAATTTAAAAAATATAATACAAATAAGAAGTTATAAAATATTAGAGTGCATTAAAAATAATCAGGGGAATCAACAGTATACAAATATGATTCTGGATCTGTTTTGAACATTGATCTTGCATCATAATAAATTGTTTTGCATTAGCCTATAAAGAGGTTATAATCTGCAATATGCTATAACTGATTTGTGTCTAGCCTGCCCTGAGTAGACACAATGGAGAAGGAGAGAGAAAAGCTCCAGGCTCTTGTAATGTGTCCAATTAATCTTTCATTGAAATCCTCCGTTAGTTTTTGCTGAGCGTTTGTGGCTAAAGTGGATGTTTAAGCCCCTTGCAAAAGACATAGAAACAGCTTAAAAGCAATATGTGTGAAGCTAGACCAGTGCATGTGATGTTTAACTTAATGGTTCTTTACTAGTAAATTGCACGTAAAAAATGGAGTGCTGGTCTGTTCTCACAGGGTTGTGTGTACACAAGTTTTGGCTCTGTAAGATTTTTAAAATGTTTTTGAAAAGTCTCTTATGCCCGCCAAGGCTGCATCTACTTGATCAAAAATACAGCAAAAGTATTGCAAAATATTATTATAATTGAAAATATCTGCTAATATATTTTAAAATGCAATGTAATCCTGTGTTGGCAAAGCAGAATTTTCAGAATCATCATTACTCCAGTCTTCAGTGTCACATGATCCTTCAGAAATCATTCTTATATCCTGATTTGCTGCTCAAGAAACATTTATTATTGATCAATGTTGAATAGAATAGAAAGTTCAGCATTTTGAAATATTATTTTCTGTAACCATGTTAAAGTTTTTAATGTCACTTTTGACCAATTTTTTAAAAAACATTATCAGTGTGTAGTTTGAGTGTGGTTTGCTGAGGTGCATTGTCTGCAGTGGCAGCTCAAAAAAAACATGGCCCTCAAAATTTTTAAGTTTTACACCGAAACGCTTCTGAGATCAAATATCTGACATCTTAAGTGTTGCCATCATTTATACAGAAATTCATAAATTGGCAGGATAACTATGTCCAACACCCAAGAAATAAAGGGTGAGTGGCAGCACAGAGCTGTTGTCTTTAGACGCTCTCCGGGTGTCTGATCGCCTGTGCTGGTGACATGCCCGCAGGACACACCGCCCTAGGCTGATTGGGGGACAGCACGGACACCTCTGATCCGGGATCAGGTCTGACAGACTGCTGAGAGAGCAGCGAATTAGAAGCGTAGCCCTGCAGCCTGGGCTAACCCACATAATATTAACAAAGCTTTGAGTCAGGGAGAATGCTGCTCTCAATCTGTGGGGAATGAGATACAGTAATCAGAGACGGCCGGGTGTTCTGTGTCCGCCAGTCTAAAACACTGACATACAGCAAGACATATGCAGGTGTGTCTGAATTAAAAACCTGTAATTGATGACAAACTCACAAACAAGCACACACCTGAAATGTTACATTATGTCCGAACCAGGACATGATAAAGCATCAATATTTTTCCATTTCCATTTATGCGTTTGGCAGATGCTTCTATTCAAGGTTTACTTTTTTTCATTTTATTTAAAAAAAAAATGCGAATAACTGTATGTTCTGATTGTCTGGGATTCTGTCACTTCATACCATTGTTGTTATTGTTATCTAAAACTATTAAGAATCCTTTACAATAATTGACCTAAAGCTGAAATATAATCAAATATAAATATTAAATAAAAAAACGTACAAAGCAAAAATAAATGTTGCCTTGGCACTTAACTGAAATAAATAAGTGTAAGTAATAAGAGTAAGAAAATATTAATATAAGCTAATTCAAAATATTAATAAATACTATAATAGTAAATAGTAAGTACTATTATACTAAATTAAATAATACTAAAATAACACTGCTTCCCGCAGCATTCACTTTCAATGAGGACAGAAATTGACTGTGTCGCTGGAAATGGTGTTGTATTGGCGCTGGTTACCAATAAGTTTTTAGGTGCTGTAAGATGAATTGAAGGGTGTTTCTTTTCCTTTGGACCCTTTTGGCCCTGTCGACCTTTTAGTAAATAAACCACAGGGTCATTTCAACCATCTCAAAATTATGTACTGTGTTTAATATCAGTCTGTGGTGGAAATTATAGTTATAACATTTTTGGGCATTTGAAAAGTTGCAAATATAAATAATGAGGGCACGATAATGTTTCCAAGACAGTTAATGTGACCTTAATACAATAAACAGAAAAAAAAGGTTGAAATCTGTTCGTTTTAATAAAAATCAACCCCTGGGACATTTAGGTGCCAAAAGTTGAAGAAACACCCTGAAATGCTGTGCTAATTTCTACTCAGCGTCATGTGGCATATTGTGAGCTTCTGAATGGGCCTGAGAATGGCCTCGGGCAGAACGCATATTACAGTCATGTAACTAACCTCCTCCTCTGTTGTTCTCCCCCTGCGGCAGCACAAACAGATCCCAATGGCCTGTCGCCAAGACAAATCAAAAGTGACAGTGATGATGACGACCTGCCAAACGTGACCTTGGACAGTGTTAATGAAACAGGATCCACAGCGCTGTCTATAGCACGAGCAGTGCAGGAGTGAGTATCCTCCAAAGACACACTCTCACAAACACACCAGCGTGCACTGGAAATCAAGCTCCAACATATGCAGACTGACAATCTTCAGCTAGAAAATTGTATCGACGTACTGCTAACAGTCTATTTGGAGATTCTGCTTTGAAGTTTGACTTTAAAGCAGTGGATCCAAGGCCCCCCTTGATTCAAGACAATATTCAAAGGCCCTTCCATCTACTGATATGCACCTGTTGTAATAAAACATAAATAAACTCAAAAATATGATGATAGTTTAATGTTGTACATCTGTATTTTTAGTGTATTGTTTTAGCATTTTAACTAGGATTATGTTAATAAAACTAAGGCCCGGTTTCACAGACAGGATTTATATTAAGACAAGAGTAGGCCTTTGTTCAATTAGGACATTTAAGTTTTTTTTATAAATGTGCCTTAGAAAAAAAAAAACATTACTGATGTGCATCTTGAGACAAAACAAAGGCACTGACATATTTTAAGGTATACCAGTGCAAGTTGCTTTCAGTTAAAACAGTTAAAACATGCATTTTGGTCTGGGACTAGGCTTAGCCTTGTCTGTGAAACCGGGGGTTAATATAAATAATTTGAATACTTATTGGGACCCCCTAGTTAAGGACCACTGCTTTAAAGAGGTTGTTCACCCAAAAATTATCATTTATTTACAGTTTTGTGTTGTTCCCAACCTGTTTGACTTACTTTTTCCTACGAAACATAATCAAGATATATTTAAAAAATGTCTTTGTGTTTATTTTTGTCCATACAATGAATGTCAGTGGGGTCCAATCAATGTTGTTTTAAACCTCTTTGACTTTCACTGTAACAGTTGAAACACTCTTGAAAATCTTCTTTTGTGGTCCCCAGAGAACAAGAAGTCATGCAGGTTTGGAACGACAAGAGCGTGAATTAATGATTACAGAATGGTCATTTTTGGATGAACTATCCCTTTAATGTATTGAAGAGTTGGAAATGAACACCTATCAAAAGCCTTGTGCAAACTGTGAAGCGTTTCCTTATAGGCCGTTCTTTGAGATACCAGCTCTTTGGTAACATTAGCTGTCATCTTCCATTCTTGTCTGCACAACTCCATGTGTCTTTACTCAGATGAGGTAGTCGTCCCATTAAAGACAGTGACATGATCAAAACCAGAAGACTCTCAAGCCTGCAGGCTGTAAAAAACAGACTAGGACTTCTCCCAAAGAGTTTTCCATGAGCCAGCCCCCCTACCAGCACCCTGTCGTCTGACTGTTATTTAGGCAAATGGTTTGGAAAGTATTCCTGGATTCCTCTGTATGTCAGAGCTCATGCGCTGATTCCGTGCAAATGTTTCCCTTTGCTCCGAATGTGTTGTGAACGAACGGTACTAGGACTTTGCCCCCCAGTGCAGCAGAATGCCAAAACACAGTTTAACCAGGTTTGCAAGAATGGTGTTATTGGGAGAGCTGCTGCTTTTGGCTGTTTACGGAGAGAGAGAGAGAGAGAGAGAGATGGAGAAAGAGGTCATGTGTGCAGCTGTGTTCATTCTAGCATGTGAAATAAGATAACTTTGTGGGCAGCGTCACCATAAAATACACTGATAGCATGGCGGACTCAATGGACATGAACAAATAAGCATTTATCACATCAAGGAAGTGTTTGATGAAGAATATTGTCATTTCATTGGGTCAGTGTTTTTGCGCAGTAATCGAAGGAGAAAATTTGAAATGCTGGGCAATAAAATGCAGTCTAAACTGAGACCAGAGCGTCTAACGGTAGGAGTGATGTCTTCCCTTTGAGGGGTGAGTTTGTGGACGCATAGGTTGGCTGGCACCGTGAAGCCCGCGGGACTAAAATAACCGGGCTCACGGACCTGTCAGAGGCCAGTCACAGCCGACCCAAAATGACTCAGTCTCCACTATAAGACTGTCCTCAACACCAGACGAGCCAATTTAGGAGAGAGAGAACTGCTAGCTCTGCACTTAATTGAAATATACATGCAGCTAAAGAAGCCGTCTATTACACCGGGGCACTCTGAGCGAGAGGCCAGATGTGTTATGTGCTGATATCTGGCTTTAACTTGATATCAGTTTCAGAAGAACAGACGAAAAGCCTGTGCCCATCTTTGACATCTCTGAGTGACAAATGCATCTACTGCATGTGAGTTGCTGTATTTTGTGTGTTCAACAGCAGTCTATGAATCCCTATGGGAAAGGGACTATAATATCGTTAAAGTGGCCATGGCAGGTTCATTTGGGTCCCTCGAGTTCCAAAGGGTCATTCGGTCAGACAGGTTGGGAGTGTGGCTACACACACACAGACACACACAACTACCTACTGTCAGTTCTTTTAGGACAGAAACACACTTGCATGTTCCTGCATTATCAAACTTCAGTACTAAGGATGCATGATTATATTAATTATTATTTACTGCTGTGGCCTATATTAGATATGTATTATTGACTTATATTGCCATTAACTAGTGCTGACTTAAAAGGATAGCTCAATTAGTATTGATAAAATATTCATATTTATTATTTATAATAAATAATCTACTATATTATTTTATATCTAGACTCTAGCCCTTTCATGCATGAATTATGATAACCTCAGTCAGGATTTTTTTCCTATGTGTTTTTATTGCTCTTAGGGCATGAAAAACAAGATTTGATTTTTTTTTTTTTTTTTTCAGGTGTCCACTTGAGTGGACAGCATGCATTTATGGTTTAAACTGAAGAGATACTATATTAAACATAATACAATAATCAAACAGATAAAGTATGTGTATTTAACAAACTAATCAATACAATTATATCAAATCATGTGAAAACTATAAAATATATACAAAAAATATAAATTCGAAATATTGCAAATGCAATTGAACTTCATACAAGTTGCACTTCGTGTATCTTTGATATCAGAACATGAGGACGTGATTCCATCAGAAATTTCTACAGCCTGTCAAGGTACAACAGTGGAAACCACTCAGATGCTCCCTCCAGTGTGCCAGAGTATGTCAATTTACCCTTATTAGCTGATAATTCTGATTATGTTCAAGATAGACACATTTCTAGCATAGGCCTCTTCTGAGAAAACCTAGCGATACGTATTTTTCAATCTCATCTGAAATTAGCAGTGTTGGGGCATGCATAACGCATTCAGATTACTTTTTTGATGTTACAAGTAAAGTAATGTGTCACAAGTAACGTGCATTACATAATCAGATTTGTTTTAATGTTACGAGTAAAGTAATGTATTACAAGTAACATGTATTACCTAATCAGACTACTTTTTGATCTAACAAGTAAAGTAATTAATTACAAGTAATGTGCATTACGTAATCAGATTACTTTTTGTTGTTACGAGTAAAGTAACGCATTACAATATAGTACATTACGAAATCAGATTACTTTTTGATCTCACAAGTAAAGTAATACATTACAAGTAACATGCATTACGTAATCAGATTACTTTTTGATGTTACGAGTAAATAAATGCATTACAAGCAACATTCATTGCGTAAACAGATAACTTTTTGATCTAACAAGTAATGCATTACATAATTAGATAACTTTTTTGATGAAATGAGTAAAGTAATACATAAGTCACATAAATTATGTAATCACATAACTTTTTTCGATGTCAATGAAATTAACATTCTAATAATACAAATACATTTATTTACAGTAAAAAAACGTCACTGCAGATTAAGTATTTTCAAAAACAATATTCACAGTATAAGTATGAATTGTAGCTGAAATATAGCCATTGATGCATGAGGTCCACTATAGTGGACAGGTGATTAATCAGATTTTTCTCCCAATCTAAAATCAAAACTTGGAAAATTTTACTGTCATATGACTCATTAGATATTGCTTGATGCTGCAATATTTTTTTTACCTACAAGAGTCTCCTAGGATAGAAGGAATGGGTGGATATTCCGGAGCAACTTGGCATGTCTGACTGACCATTGGCCATCTTGGTTTGGAGGTGGGAAAAACTCGAAACACAACGGCTTGCAACTTGGTTGCAATGTATAGGATGATCCACCAGGGTCCACTGAAGAGATTGATGTGCAACTTTGCCATCAAAACCCTTGCAAATTCAAGAAAATGCTTTTTTAATAGCTGTCCACTGTTAGTGACCACTATGCATGAAAGGGCTAGAGTAGGCATACAGTAGTCTAACCTAATCTCTCCCTGGTTCTTCTCTGTCATTCCTTTCTGAAGCCTGCTTTCTCTTTGCGGGATTGCTGGATAAGATGCAGGTCTTGTTGTGACAAATGTTTAGGGGAGCGTATCAGAGAACACCCGGAGCCCTCAGCAGAAAGCTTACTTCGCTGGTCACTCTGAAGGGAGAGCTGAGACAAAAGGAGCAAGAGCTCAATTCAGTCTGATTTGAAACATTTCAGAACCAAACAATTCATACACCCCACCCCCAAACACAGACAAAAGCACAAAGCCAGGACGACAGGGTTATGCAGGGTTTACACAAGAGCTGTTTCAAAGGTCGAGGCATCATCTGGGCTGCAAAGCTCTTCTATGTTATACAGTAAGTGACGGCACTAGCATTATGTTGGACATGGATGGATCAGTGGCTGGACATGGATAAAGACTTTGATTGAACTAAAATTGTATATAAAAGCGAAGGAAAAAGTGGGGTATAAACTAAAAGTAGCTTGGTCCTCATCGTGCTGGGGGATGTGAGGGTTGGGCTGGGCAAAATAGGGGTCCATCCAACCAGGAGATCATCCTAGTACCTGGTGTCGTTGCACCATACCTGAATCTAGAGGACACCTGGTGCCTGCAGGGAGGACAGCAGATGTGTGAGACTGGATGTCAGGCCTCTTGGCCAGATGTTTATTACATTATAGATTTAAATTAAAGATCTACTGAAAATGGATTTAGCTGATATCAATATCTAAGCTGAGCCAATTTTTAGATTTTAGACTCAAAGTTTCAATGTTTTATTTTTTTTTCAACCAAAAATCCCAATAAAAGCCAGTAAAAACAAACCAATCAATAAATAAAATTATATACATATACACTACCATTCAATCATTTTTTTTTTTTTTTTTGAAAGACATTAATACTTTTATTCAGCAAGCGTCAAGGATGACATAAAAGAAATGTATAATATTACAAAAGTTTTCTATTTCAAATAAATGCTGAATAGGCTGCTGAAAATTCAGCTTTGCCTTGACAGGATTTAAATTCCATTTTAAAATGTATTAAAAAAGAAACTAGCTTTTTTAAATTGTAATAATATTTCACAACATTTTATTGTATTTTTGAACAAGAAAAAAATGCAGCCTTGGTCAGCATAAGAGACTTGTTTCAAAAACATTTCAAAATCTTACCGGCCCTAAAATGTTGAACGGTAGTGTGTGTTTATATTCATTTTAATATTTAGTTTCCCTCACGTGTTTGTGAGCTGTAATTATAAAGCAATTTAAGGGGGTATTTTTTAGCTTTGGCTGATTGAATAAAATAATATATTGCTCGACGTCTATTGACAATGCACCTGATTTGAGAAGGACAAAAAAGGGAAGAGGTGTCTGTACAGTACCTGTCAGGTGAATATGTATTTTCAAGTCATTTTCCACGATTCAGACTACTGTATCACTATTTATGTCAGTGGCGTCCCCTCTGAAATATATCAGACTGTAAACATCCTGTGAGAGTTCTTTCCACTGTAAATCCTGTCACTCCCTTCATGCTCCCTCACTCCCTCCAAGCTCTCCTTCCAACATCAACCCCCCTCCATTTTTATCTTGCCACCAACTTTCATTCTCACAGAAACTCTCTGTGACTCTCTTTCGCTCTCTTGTAATTTCTCTGAGAGAGAGAGAGAGAAAAAAACAACCTGTTTGGCTCATTGCCTCTTTCTCGGCTTCTCTTTGTCTCCTCTTCTCAATTTCACTTCTCCCCTCCTGGGTCTCTTTCTCTCTCTCTTTCACTCTCGGTGTGCTTTTGCTCGAGGCAGCGAGAGAGTTCAGCCTCATTTCTCACACATTGGCTCATTTCCGCTAGGCCTTCGCTTGGCAGCGCACCAACACCAACAGGTGACCCAGGAGCAGGGGAGAAACAGGAAGTGGGCTGCGTGTGGTGGAGACAGTTCACTGGAGGGGTTGTCTGGCTCCGCCCCCCAGGCCCAGCCCATGCCAATCAGCAAAGCAGGGGACATACAGCTCTTATTACCTTAGAAGGGAAGGCGAGCGAGGACAATGTAATGTAATTAGGCGCTCCTCTCTGTCTCTACCTATGGGAGAAATGGAACAAAACGACTCGTACGCTCTCTCGCTTTCATACACAGCGTGTCCTCACACTTACGTGGCTCTCTGCTCTTCTCCAACAGTTCAGTGAGCTCATTGGTTGATATGTACAAATCCTCTCAATGAGAGCCAGCTTTACAGTTTGAAATCGGGCCCACCGTCTGGAATGGCAATAATTCATTTTCCCACAGCAATCAGAACAGACAGTGTGTTAATACTGTGTAGTTTTATTCATCTGATCCTGTAATATTGTGATTTGGAATAAGTATGTAAAAACATTTTCTTGGATTTTACTAACAGCAAACTAACAGGCAACAAATGTCACATCTCTATAAGAATTAGGGCTGGTTTTGTAAGAAAAAAAGGCATGTTTTTTGGCCTCTGAACAGTTGCCTTGTACCATCAAAATGCAGCTATAGCCTACAGCGCCATCTAGTGATACATTTTGAGTAGAACATTAGCAATAAGTAAAAAATTTTTAAATATATATATATATATATATATATATATACACACACACTCACCTTCAAACTGAGCATCAGAATGTGGAAGACAGTGGCATGGTTGTCGGTGCCAGGCAGGCTGGTCTGAGTATTTCATATAGCACTGCTGATCTACTGGGGTTTTCTCACACAACCATCTCTAGGGATTACAGAGAATGATCTGAAATAGAGAAAATTTCCAGTGAGCGGCAGTTCTGTGGGCAAAAATGCCTTGTTGATACCAGAGGTCAGGAAAGAAGAACATGAAACTGAGGCTACAATTCACACAGGCTCACAGAAATTGGACAATAGAAGATTGGAAAAACGTTGCCTGGTCTGAGGAGTCTCGATTTCTGCTGCGACATTCAGATGGTTGGGTCAGAATTTGGAGTAAACAACATAAAAGCATGGCTCCATCCTGCCTTGTTCACTAAATAGAGCACCTTGGGGTTGTGGTGGAACAGGAGATTCACATCATAGAAGTGCAGCCAACAAATCTGCAGCAACTTTGTGATGCTATCATGTCAATATGAACCAAAATCTCTGAGAAATGTTTCTAGCACCTTTTTGAATCTATGCCATGAAGAATTAAAGCAGATTTGAAGGCAAAAGGGGTCCAAACCGGTACTAGCAAGGTGTACCGAATAAAGTGTGTGTGTGTATATATATATATATATGTATTATTCAAATGTTCTTTTAAAGAAATTTATTCTTTTATTCAGCAATAACACATCAAATTGATCAATAGTGACAGTAAAGACATTTATAATGTTACAAAAGATTTGTATTTCAAATACATGTTATGACGGTTTCAAATGAACATTCTGCTTCCAACATTTATAATGATAATGTTTCTTGACCAGCTAATTATTTCTGAAGAATAACCTGACTGAAGACTGGAGTATTGGCTTTTCCATCAAAGGAATAAATTATATTTTAAAATATATTAAATTAGAAAACGATTTTAAATTGTAATATTAGTTCACAATATTATTGATCAAATAAATGCAGCCTTGGCAAGCATAAGAGACTTCTTTCAAAAGCATAAGAACATTATTAGTGACCCTAGATTGTGAGGAAAAGTCAGTAGAAAGATGTTTCTTGCCATTATTTACTTCTTATTGCATTACATTAAGATGGCAAACAAACATTCACAGCTGAGGTGAAATATGATTTCATTTGCTTTGACGCATAGATTCACCACACTGCGAGCGCTGCTGCTGAAAATTAGTGCTTGAAACACTTTATCATAATAAAGATAACATGTAATACTGACACATGCAAAGGTGGTCCATGTCTAGTACGTCAAGTACTACTGCTTTAAAATCATGTTACCACATGGTGGCAGCAATTAGCTTGTATACATGCCTGCTGTGTTAGGTGTTTTGTTTAGGATGCTGAACAAGTTAGTCAGTTGGCTATTTCCTGCAACATTGTAATGTTATGTGTTAATCAGTGTTAACTAAATGTCTTTCTCTCTGCCTCAGTTCCATGTCACCATTCAGTATTGAGAGCATTCGACGGCCACAGCCACCTGAATCTCCAGACTCCAAGAAAAGACGCATCCACAGGTGCGACTTTGCAGGCTGTAATAAGGTTTATACTAAGAGCTCCCATTTAAAGGCACACCGGAGGACACACACAGGTAAGTGAGCACACAAATGCTGTCCATACACATAGTTTCACTACCAATTTATTTGATTTTGGGGGATAACCAGTCTTAATTTGGTTCAGATTTTACAAATTGCATCTGTGTCTTTTTTTTTGCTTAAGTGTGATCCATTATCTCCACCAGGTGAGAAGCCATACAAGTGCACCTGGGACGGCTGCACATGGAAGTTCGCCCGCTCGGACGAGTTGACACGGCATTATCGTAAACACACAGGGGTCAAACCCTTTAAGTGTGGGGACTGCGACCGAAGCTTTTCCCGCTCAGACCATCTGGCCCTGCATCGTCGCAGACACATGCTGGTCTGAATCCACACACACAAGGGAGAGCTGGATCTCCCCCAATAGTGTTCAGCTGGGCTGGATACAAAAATGGCCATCCCTGCCCCTGAGAAAGAGAGAGAGAGAGAGAGAGAGAGAGAGAGAGAGAGAGGATAAAAGAACAAGTGAAGGAGGAGTACAATGCTTTCCTCACATTTGCAGAGCTAAACAGGGTCCATTCAGGGAGGGAGGAGGCTCATCTACAGGCCTGAAACATTTGGAGTCCAGGATGTTGATTGTCTCATGTGTATTCAAAGGAATATTTCACTCGGACAAACGGTTCGTTTTCTGATTTTTCCATTCTGAATCATCCTTGTGTTCTGTTTAAACATGGCTGCTTCTCAGTCGACATCTACAATGTGAAGAAACGCAGAGTGGAAGGGCTTTACGTGTTGTTCTGGCAGATGCAAAGGGGAGCTTGACCGGGAATTGTATGCTTGCACAATTTTTTTACATTTACATTATTGTGGAACATCAAGAGCCAGACACATCTGTGAAGGATCATGCAGTTCTTCTGATGACGGAGACTTTGGGCCAGTGATTCGGGAGGTTTCAGAGGTTGCCATTTACAGGTTAACATACCAGCGAATGAGATTACGCAACAAAAACAACACATTTTGGGTCATTATATCTTCTGTTCCCCACAACTGTTGATTTTAAACTGAAATCGATTCAATTTGATAAACAGACAAAACATACTTGGGCTCCTGCAGTCTACCATCCACATTTGTCTTAATTTCATCACACTAACTCACTAATTAGAGTAAATCTGGATAATGAGGGTCTACTCAGACAGGTAACTCGAGGTAGAAGAGCAATATACTCATTCTGAGCACCAGATGGGTGAGCTGGTCTGGCTCTTACACTTATACAGTACGTACATATCTATCTATCTATCTATCTATCTATCTATCTATCTATCTATCTATCTATCTATCTATCTATCTATCTATCTATCTATCTATCTATCTATCTATCTATCTATCTATCTATCTATCTATCTATCTATCTATCTATCTCATCAGGTGGCTTTGAAACACAGACAAAACTTTGGATTTCTACCAGTGCCGCTTTGTTTTCTATAATTCCTATAGCTCTTCTGTTTATTGTGGATTTCTAGCTGCCACATTTTGGAGGTGAAGTCGCTTTGTAGAATATCCAGAGGAATCCTCTGTTTTCTTTTCCTTTTGTGAGGTTGCTTTTGGACTATGAAGCCTAGATGTAATTTATGGTCAGTACAGCAGTATTGATAGGCTTTGTTCTTTACTTTGTATTTACTGAAGTACTGTAACTGTGTTAATGCTTCAGTTAAAGTCTTTGCAAACATCAGTGCATTCATGTGCTAATTATTTTAAAAACACTTCAAGTAGTTAATGCATCGGGTAACATTGAACTAACAATGTACAATACTTTTCAAAAGTTTGGTGTTTTTTGTTTTTGAAAGAAGTCTCTTAAGTTCATCAAGGGTGCAGTTAATTCATCAAATATACAGTAAAACAATAATAATGAGAATTATTATTACAAATTGAAATAACCATTTTTTATTTTAATATATCATGTATTTATATATAATATAACAATTAATTTATTCCTGTGGTGGCAAAGCTGAATTTTCAGCATCATTACTCCAATCTGTAGTGTCACATGATCCTTCAGAAATCATTTGAATATGCTTGCTGCCCAAGAATTCTTTTTTATTATTATTAATAATGTTGAAAACAATTGTGCTGTTTCATATTTTTCTGGAAGCTGAGATATAAAAAAAAAACTGGATTCTTTGAGGAATAGAAAGTTCAAAGGAACCGCATTTATTTGAAATAAAACACTTTTGTAACATTATTACTGTTTTTATTGTCACTTTTGATCAATTTAATACATCCTTGCTGAGTAAAGGTGTTAATTCAAATAAAAAATCTCACTGACCCCGAACTTTTGAATGGAAGTGTGCAGTACAACAGTATTTAAAGCATTTATAAATCTAGGTAAATGGTAAATTATAACTATACAATTTTTCTGTTCATGATATATTATACGAAATGTTCAAATGTAGGCTATTAGTGTATGTAAAAATTACCATTAACCCAGATTAATAAGTGCTATTCAATTTTTTTCATGGTTAGTTCATAATACCTTATGTATTAACTAATTTTAATGAATGTTAATGTTAATGTTTAATGAATGCTAATTTTAATGTTACCAATGTTTTTTTACACATATTTGTTTTTATCACACCATTTGAACAATCCCCAAAGTGACCAGTAGAGGGCAGCCAGTGAGCTAAATTTATCTATCTATCTATCTATCTATCTATCTATCTATCTATCTATCTATCTATCTATCTATCTATCTATCTATCTATCTATCTATCTATCTATCTATCTATCTATCTATCTATCTATCTATCTATCTATCAATCAAAGGGATTTCTTAACTTATCAATATATATATAGACACACACACTACAATAACCAAGATACTCAAAAGAAGCAATATGCCACGCTTTTATGAATACAAGTAATTTAATTGAACATATACTGTACCCAGATAAATCCACTGTACGTTCCCCATGATCGAGTTCATGTAAAGGTATACGTTTTCACTAAACTGTTCTGTTTCTGAAAGGACATCTGTAAGACTTCTGTCCCTTTGATCCATATGCACTTTCAATTGGCTACAGAAAGCCATGTGATCGCTTCTCAAATGATTAGATGTTACTAGAATTTACATTGAGAAAAGCCACTTGACTCCATGCACAGACAGATCACGTGATCAAACACACTGACTAAATCTACAATCAATCTCACAGTTGCTGGTGCATGGGACTTTTCGTCACCAACAAAAGAAAACTGAAGTGCTGTGAAAGGAAACATGTCAAGAAACATTCTGTAACCGTTTGTCAGTTAGAGACGACCAATCAATTTCTAGCATTTTTTTTGTTTGTTTGTTTGTTCGTTCATTCTGAAGTATTATGATCCACCATGTTTTATGTTCCTCTGTATTTGTGTGTACACACGTGTGTATTCTGTTGTTTATCGGCTTGAACATAACATGAGCACCTTGTTTTTATGAAGTACGGAAGTAATTATTTTAAGGTAGATGTGACATTAATCACCAATGTATCTTATCATATTCTGTATTTTGAAGTGTGTCTGTAATGTGGGGCACTTCATCAGCATATGACTATTTTCTGTACAAAAAAAATACTTTTAAAGATGTTGTAATATATGTGAAAGTGAAAGGATATTGCTCCGTTTTACAGGCTGTAAATACCTATCAAAATAGGGCTTTTTTAAAATACAAGGGATTATCTTTATACGTAATATGCAGATTTTTCAGAGACATTAATTTAGCTAATATAATTTTTTTTTAAAAAGTGTTCAACTGTTCTACAGTAGGCTATGTGTGAGAACAATAAAGGCTTGTCATCTTAAAGAGATAGATCAGCCAAAACTGAAAAATCTGTCATCATTTACCCACCTTCATGTTGACCAAAACCAGTATGACTTTCTTCTGGAACATAAAAGAAGATATTTTGAAGACATTTTTTTTTTGTGACCTTTTGGACCTTTCACTGTATGGACAAAAAAATGCTTCAATATAGGCCTATATAAGAAATAAATTCATACAGGTATATGCATATATATATATAGATAAGAAATAAAATCATACAGGTTTGAAATGACATGTGGGTGAGTAAATTATGTCCGAATTTTCATATTTGGGTGAACTATCCTTGTAAACGCACATGTAGGACCGGTTCGAGCCCTGCTCTGAGCGGGCCAAGTGAAACCGGTTGCAGTTGCATGTAGTTTTTATAAACAAAATCAAATTAAATGTTCATTACAGTATTCAGGCGGTGCTGCCTCATTTATAGCAACTATTTCAATGTTTTTATACTGACTCTTAAAATGTGAATAAAGTAGAAACAACCCAATGAAAACAGTGTATCCAGCACAGTATGCAAGAGTCATGAGCAACAAATAAAGTGATCAATATTCTACTGGAAAGATTTCAGACAAAATAAAGGGTTGTTTTACTCAATTCTGCATTACTTTCCCTCTCCTTTGACATTCTTATGTTTTTTGTGGCATAATTTTGCAAAGGCAAACAGGGTCAAAGTTATGCAATAATGACGAGTGCCTAGTATTATTAAGATCCTCACGTATAGGAAGTCACGGTTTCCCTGGTTTAATCACCCAGACATGACACAAAGATCTGTTCTTTTAAAATGCACTGAGCCTTATGAATCGTTTTGAAGCTGTAAATATGCAGGTTGGTGTTTGTTGAACATTCTTTATCTGTCTCCTATGGAAGCTGCATAAGATTTATATGGTAATACTCACCTACGGAAGGACACATTTTAACAGGACTCCGGTTTACCTCTGACTTTATAAAGTCGTGTGAACTTCTGATGCGTCCCCAGTTATGGAAATCGAACAGTCATAGGAAATATTCTGGATGTTAAGACACTGGTGGTACGGCGTAATAATTCCTCCGTGAGCAGCATTTCCCCTCTTCAGTCTCTGTAAAATATTACCTTTGTTTATGTATTTGCTTTACTTTCTTTGGAATCAAGTATTTACTCAATGGCCTTTGTTTCTTGTTTTGCTGATATTCTGTAATTATCTTTCTTGTATTTATGTATAGTGTGTGTATTTGTAAATATATTCAGAGTTGTTTTTTTTTTTTTTTTTTGCTGGTTTTATTGTAAAATTGTGATATTTCCCCCTGCTTATCTTCAAAGGGATTCCCTTCCCATTGGAGGATGTCACGTCCCGATCGTTTCAGAGGTTAAAAGTGTTTCAGCTTTATTTTGCTTCTCCAGAAGTTGTCTAAATATTCTGTGCTTTTTGCTATTCTCTGTATTTTCTTTCTTTTCCAGAAGATTGAGCTGTGAATTGAAATTGAGGTTATACATTATACTTGTTTGATAATCTTGGAGGCATGGAAGTTAATAAACTTGCATTTTGTATGGAACATATTGGCATAAAGTCCTGTATTTACATTTACTTCACATTAACATTTCAAAACTGCTAATAGAATAAAGATGTTCAGTCCTAAAACCTGAAAAATTTGCATTTTTGTCTCA